TTCCCCTCAACTCTTTCACTCCTTTTCCAGATACCCTTTACATCGCGACAGAGCTACCACCATCTTTCTTTCACTTTGCTCTTTAAATTCCTTAAAGGTTGAGTGTCTCATAGAGACTCAATTTCTCCCATAGAGACTAATTTCTCACATCAGAGAAACTACGTGCTATGTAACCTTCTTTCATTTATTTCACTTAGTATTATGGTCTCATTTATATGAGAATATTGAGTAGGCTGCATTCTATTTGTACGAGTCATCAGTATTGAGTCATTTATATGATTCAAATTTATCCTTTTCAGAGCTAAGTAATATATTTAATTCTCTATATCCACTCATGTGTTGTTGGGCATATAGGATGCTTCTAAAAATTAGCTATTTTGTTTTATACTGCTATATACATGGCTATGCATGTATCACTGTAATGTGATGACTAATCCCTTCTAGAAAGATACCCAGAGAAGGAATAGCTGGGTCAAATGGTATTTCTACTTTTACTTTAAGGAATCTCCATACTGACCTCTGTAGTGGTTGTACTAGTTTATACTCCTACCAGCACTGTAGAAGAATTCCTTTTTCTCCACATCTTCACCAACATTTTTTATTTATTAGGTCCTGATAATAGCTATTCTTACTGTAGTAACATGGAATCTGAATGTTTTTGTTTGCATTTCTTTAATTACCAAAGATGCTGACCATTTTTTCATATACTTATTGGCCACTTGTACATCTTCTTATTTAAACAGCCTATATTTTGACTGAGTCTTTTGTTTGGGGAGAATCTTTTTTCTTTTTAAATTCTATATTGTATGTGTTAGTCGTCTGTCTGAGGAAGAGCTGACAAATTGTTTCTCCATTCTGTAGACCATCTCCTCTCACTGGTGGTTCTTTCCTTTGATGTACAGAAACTTTATAATTTGATATAATACCATGTATTGATTCTTTGTATTCCACCTTGTGCAACTGGCATTACATACATGATGTCTTTTCCTGTGCCTGTGTCTTCAAGAGCCTTACCAATTTTTCTTACACAGGTTCAGTGTTTTTGTCTTCTATGTCTAGGTCTTTGATCTACTTTGATTTCATTTAAGTAGAGAATGACCAATATGGATTTAGGTTCGTTATTATGCACATGGTTAACAAGTTTTAAAACTGCGACGCTTTAAAGATCACATAGATCCCATATAGTACACAGGGCCAGTGACCCGGATCACAGGAAGAAATAATCTCTCTAAATGAAGACAAAAAATCTTAAGGCATTTGTGAAAAATAATGAAAAGCAAGAATGAAAAACAACAGCAAGAATTATTCCCCAGAAGAAAGAATTAAGAAAACAACCATAAAAGATTTAATATGCTGAAAGGAAGTGTTCTAAAATAAAGACCTGAGGTAACAGAAGAAAAAAGGCAGCCGGGACTAATACTAACAAACAATAGCTCCAAGGTAACACTGCTAACTGCTAGTTGAAATGGACTCTGAAACCAGACCTGACTCATCCACAAGCTTCTATTCTAATTCCATATATGTCCATATTCTATCAGCCACTAAAAAGAAATCTCTCTGCTTGCAACGTGGAAGTCTGGACTGGACCTATATCAGAAAAGAAGACATTAGTAGAAAAAAGGGATGACATTTCTTATGAAGTCTAGAGTTTAGTTAATGTACCTATTAAATAGGTTAACATATTAATATATTAAATAGGATATTATACCTATTAACTAAACTCTAGACTTTACCAGAAATGTCACCAGTCTCTTAGTTTTGACTATTACATCAGTTATGTAAGATGTCAATGTTGAATAAGCCTAAGTGAACGGTAGGCATGTGTTCAGTGTTTTTATAAATCTAAAATGATTATAAAATAGCTTATTAACAACAAATCAAAATGGTGCCTTGGACAGTCTTAAAAGTCTTCATACAAACTTTTAAGTGAAGAGATTTATTGCATAAAATGAAATTTTTAAAAGAGCCTACTTAGCTTTGAAGGCATGAAGGCACATTTATTACTGATTTCTAAAAATAAAAATATGCCGCACTTTAATTACAACAGCTTTTTAAAAGCCTTCTTACATAGTTTCTCTCATATGATTTTTCCTTAAATATGGATAAACACATCCCAAACACTTTAAGCAGTAATTTTTAGAACACAAGGTGATCTGGCTGAGATAAATTGTTCTCCACTTGTGGTAGAGACGTGACAGAAATTCTGTAAAAAACTTGTCACAGCAAGAATTAAATTCGTAAGATTAATAGAACTGTCTGATTTTAGGAGATGTCAGATACTGGAAGAATAAGGACTTCAAAATAAATGAATTCGAGGAGTAGAAAAGCTGAAGCATATAATTAAGCCAAAAACTCAGAGGAATTTGACTATGCAAGGAAAGAAGGAGAAAACATAAGAAGAGGAAAAGAAACTGAGTGAGAGTAGGGGATTAGAGTGTCTCCGAGGACCTGAGATGTGACAGATGATGTCATAGGGGGAAAATGACAGGGAAATGAAGAGTATTAAACCCCATCATGTCAGTACCTTGCTCAAAGCTGTACGGGGCTCCTGTCACCAACAGCGCAGGCCAGAGATCTAGGGAGCCCTTGATAGTCTATGTCCCTCAGCTTTCTGCACTCCTGACTTCTTCTCACTGTTCCCTGTCTCTTACACTCTCTCCAGTCAACTCCATACCCAAACACTTCAAAGCCATTTCCCTACTGTTCTGTTTGCCAACCTCCATGTAGAGAATACTGCTCCCTCAGAAAGCCCTGGCAAATTCCACCTTCTGCAAGTTTTACTCAAATGTTAACTGACTAGTGATTTATTACTATGTACTTTTTATTGAAAATAATGAGCCCCCAGAACTCACAACCTCCTCTGTTGTTTTCCCACAGCTATTTCCACTGTCTAACTGTTCTATCAAATGTCAGTCTCCCCAGGCACTAGACTATAACCATTCAGATTTTTGTCTCTTTTGTTTACTGTTATCTTCCTTGTGCTTAGAATAGTGCCAAGCACACAGTAAGTTGACCCCCAAAATTTGTCAAATTCATCGATACAAAAGTGTGGTTTCCAGTACTATTAGTAAAATTTAGAGTGGCAAAATATTGGTTACTTTTCCAAAGTTATTTTGCTGTTTGGTAACTGGAGTCAACTTTTTGCTTGTTTTCTGGGCATTTTCTACACTGAATAATTACATCCATCATGTTTGAATAGGGGGATTTTGTTTTTAAAAGACTTTATACTTATCTATCTAGTGTCATTTCAAAGCAGGCACACTCAAGGTCAGCGTCAAAAAGAACAAAATTGCATTCTTTCAAGGCTTCTTCTTATGAGCTTCAGTGACATTTAGTTCTTACCAGAAAAAAAGCTATGCATCCTAAAAACTACAAGAGCACAATCACTAAGCAAATGGAATCATAAAATTCTAACTGCATTTTCCAGAAGGGAAAACTGAGATCTAGAAATACAAGTCACTTTCTTATAGTCAAAGGAAAGCTGATGAAGTAGTGAGCTGGAACTCATCATTAAAGGAATACTCAAGAGTTGGCCCACTCTTTCAACTTCTGTTTATGTAGTGAGAAGTCCACATTGGAAAGGCTCAGTTCACTATTTGAAAGAAAACTTTATTTTCTCCAACTTGTTTCCATCTCATTGTTCAAGGATGTTTATGAACGGTAGCTTCAGTTTTTTCAACATTCTAGATTCTCTGCATTATGATCACTAGCAAAAGAAACCATGTAGGCACTTTCCCTAAGCATGTTTATCCGCCACTGTGCCTCACAGACCCCACTCAGTATTTGAACTTTGCATTCCCTGTTGAGAATAACGTAAGGCAGCATATTCTACAAATTTCTTACTTTTTTTCAGTGGATGGATTGCCAAGCAACTCTCAAGAAATCAAATGGAATCAGTTTTCAGGGGCTAAAAGTATATCACTTCTTTTTAAAATAATGAAGTCTACTGAAGAAGTATATAAATTGTTTTGGGTAAGGGGCAAATAAGTCTGGAGCTGTATTTTATTCTCAAAGGTAGGGACAGCAGTTAATCTGCACACATGCATTCCCTGGGCACCCAGATCATCATCTCTGACGTTACAGTGGCACATGGGAAGATACTTCGGCAAAGACAGTCCATAAAATGAAGTTGCTTTAAACCAAAACCACCATATTGATTTTTAGTGCAATTTGAAATGCAAGAAAGCATCAGTTTAAAAGGCACAAGCTGAAAAGAAAAGGGAGAAACACTGCAAACGGTAGAGATAAACAAAAGAATAAAAGACAATTACATTAGCAAACATCTTTGTGTTCTTCCAGGTTAAGTCTAAAAAACTCAGAGGGTTGAATTATGTTGAAATGCCCTAATGTAAAAATCTAAGATTGCCCACTTCTGTACTTTGTGCTCACAGCTAGAACCCTGGGCATCTGGCAGATCTTTCAGAAATAAAGCCTTTGAATATTTCACCATTGTTTTCAAAGCCCAAGTAGTTTTTTCTTTTTTTCAATTAATAGATCTCCCTTTCTCTGCAAATTGCAGAGCCATCTAAACTGCACTATTGAAGACATCATTCACTAAAATATCACTAAGTTTACTGCACACATGTATTTTCCTTATATCCTTAGTGAAACCAAATGATTTGCCGAGCCAGAGACCTCTGCACAAAGGTTCAGCGGAAGGAGAGAGCAGCAGGACTTACCACTGCCCCCTCACTTGTTCTTTGGGCAACTTCTCGCTGCAGTCGGGCCACAGCCAACTTCTCCCTGGAGATACAAAAGCACATGATTAGTGGACCATTCCCAGGACAGCAGCGACACCACATGACCGTGAAGCGTTCTTTTGCGGTCTCTAGAGGAACTCCTTCCCTCACTTAGCTCACTTCCCCCATGATGCTGCCCATAAATATTTAAAGTGACTGGTCAGTAGTGCATTGTTTTCATCTAGTGTCATTTTTTTGCCTTGGATTTTATAATAGCCAAATAAATGTTGAATGCTGAGCAGAAGCTTTGCTTGGAGCCCATTAAGACACATCATTTGGTGACAAATTTTCTGTGGCTGAAACAATTCAGTTGTCCTTTCTGTATCAACTCTGCTTATATATTTTTAATAATCTTCATTTCTTTTGCAGCTATTTACTAGTGCACAGTCTTAAAAGGCAAACAAATCATAGAACAGCACCATTATTTATAATGGAAAATCATCTGCAGGCTCGCTACACAATCCTTATACTGCTGGGCATTTTACCTATCCTCATATGAGCCTGACACTACCCTATGTTTCATTAAGCCCTTTCTTTAGAGAAAGTGGGAATTCGAGCCGCTAAGTAAAAAAGCTGAACCCTAGCAAACATGTAATAATTTGAGGATCAGGTTTTGGGTTTCCTTATTTCAAAGCCTAAATAAAAATTCTGTGTATCATTTTTCAGGATCTAGGAAGTAGGAAAAAAGGAGACTTAAAAATCAGATTAGTTTAGTATTAGCTTAGTATTCTCCATAGTAGGGTTCATTTTATATTTTTTAAAATTGTAAAACTGATTTCACTCACAGTATATTGAATCTTCACCAAAGTTAAGAGTACTTTTGTAAAGTGATAGATACTTGCATTTTGGACAGTTTTACGGTTATTTTTTAATTTTTTTTTTTTTTTGGTTTTTCTCCGGTACCAGGAACCGAACTCACTACCTTGCGCTTGCCAGGCAGGCACTTTGCCGCTGAGCTAAATCCCCAGCCCCGAGGTTATTTTTTTAAATAGTTAACAGATAACATACAGTAAGTGACCTCTTAAAGTGATTCCCAAATCTTAGTTTTAGCAAGCTATCCCATGAACTCCTTTTATCACTATCAAAATATGAAATTGAGTGATATCATATCCATTAGCCTGCCCTCTGCACAGCATCACACACAAACACAGACAAAACTGCTCTATTCCCACATGAATGAGAGGATTTCTTCTACCTAATCGCTCAGGTCTTTGAAACAACTTTGGCTGCCGAAGGAAGACTGTGCTTTTGGTTGTTTAAGGCTGACCAGTGTTCCAGTAGGAAAAGCTCTCCCTGAATAAAAGTCTGAAGACATGCCGGGACAATGGTAAATGACAATGAGGAGATGTTCCAGGGAACAAGCTTGGAGATCTGGAGCAACACCTGTGCACTGCTGTCCCTGTGAGAAGGACCAGCAAGTAGACAGGAAGAGCCATCAAGAGATGTAAATTACATGCCTGTATTTAAGGAAACCAGGCAGAGAGTCCATGGGTAGTCTGACCCAAGTCCTATGAGAAGATGTAAGGACAAATGTAAGAAGCAGAGTTGAAAGAGATGAATATGAGTGACTTCCTATTTCATATGAAAATTAAATGCAACCATTTATCTCCTCTTTACCCAGAAACAATTAAAACTGCAGTGAATGTATAATGATGGTGAACATTTACGAAGTGAAAGAAAAAAGGAGAATACACTCTATATTGTATATATTAGCTTGCTCGTCACCGAGATACAATAACAACAACCAGCTCCTCAACTTCGAGGAGGAGAGGTCGAATTTGCTTTCAGCTTGAGTGCATGATTGGCTGGTGCTGAGGCAGAGAAATCACAACAGAAACAAAAAAGCTGTTTAGGTCAAGGCAGTGGAGCAGCAAGCAGGGAAGAGAACAGGAGCAGAAGGGGTGGGGGTCAGATACAGACCCAAAGGCCACTCCTCCATGAACCCACACACACCTACAAGTGTGCTCCAGGAACCCATAGAGTGGATCCCAAAGCAAAGCAAATGGAAACTCCACCCACCACAACAACACAGCGGTTCTGTTCAAAGCATAAACCCAACAGATATGCACATACGTTACCACCAAAAGACACAGACTAGAATGTTCACAGAAGTGCTGTTTGTAATAGCATTAAACCAAAAATGCACATAGTCATTAGCAATAGACTAGACAAGTAAACTTCAGCACAGTCATACCTGGGCTGGTATACAGTATTGAGAAGGCACAGTCTGGGCATGGTGGAACACACCTATAATCTCAGCACTGTGGCTAGCTGAGGCAGAAGGACTTCAAGTTCAAGCCCAGCCAGGATAATTCAGAGACCTTGCCTTAAATTAAAAAATAAAAACTAAAACAAAAATGAAAAAAGGCTGGGAGAGTAGCTCAGTGGGAATACACAGAGTTCAAATCCTTTTATCACAAATTCAATTTATATAAAAACTAAAACTCCTATCCAGTTTGATAAGAAAAAAACACATGAAAATCAAAATGGAAGACATAAAACTGCATATTCAGAGATTACAATTTTCTAATTAAAAATGCTAAGTAACTTTAAAAACAACAATTAATAGGTTGATTGAGCAGTCACATCATAGAAGCCAACTGTATAATGTATGTGAAAATCAAATGCATACTTCTGCAGTAACACAAATCAAGTGCAAAATGAAATTTAAAAATATTGATTGATGACAGTGTCAAAAAACAAAATATCTATGGAATAAACTAAAGAAAAAAAAAAGGACCTGCAAGATTGCTACCCTGTAAGCGCTGCTCAGAAGGCTAAACATAGACAAATAAGGAGAGATATATATCACATTCAGGGTTAGAATGCTTAATATTATTCCACTTTCAAGTTTTTCTGTAAATTCTTTCTCACTGGGGTGTATCCCTCCACCTAAGCAAACAAAGAGAAAGACACTCCTGGAAACAAGCAATTCCATACAGAAGAAGAGAAAGAGGAATTCACTTTTTTCTTTTCTTTTGATAAAGAGAAGCCCTTGCACAACAGCAAGGTAAGAATCCAAACAACAGAACCTGACTGCAGTGAGAAGGGGGAGGCTCCCAAAGGATGACTCTGTGTAAAGAATCAAAGCTGAACCAAAGAAACTACCGTGGAGTCTGTAAATACTGAGAAAGGTTTTGAGTTCTTGGACAAAGTTTATTAAGCATAAGAAATTGGAGCGCAATGACAGAAAGTGGAAAATATTAATTCTAGGAAAAAGCAAAGCTATTCCAGATATGCAATGCTAGAATTCATATCCAGCCATGAATGACATTTGTTTTCTCATTTGAATTAAATCACACTTTAATTTAAAAATTAGGGAGAATAGGAAGCATAGAAAGACAAGTGACACAGGAACACTAGATCTGCTCTGCCATAGTAGGTAAATACTATGTAATTTCTAAAAGTAACCAATGTAGAAATAGTAGTACAAGGGGCTGGGGATTTAGCTCAGCGGCACAGCATCTGCCTGGCAAGCGCAAGGTTGTGAGTTTGATTCCCGGTACCGGAAAAAAACAAACAAACCAAAAAGATCTTGGGGCTGGGGATTTAGCTCAGCAGCACAGTGCCTGCCTGGCAAGCACAAGGTCATGAGTTCGATTCCCGGTACCTGAAAAAAAACAAAAAAACAACAACAAAAAAACCCCCAAAGAAATAGAAGTACAACATTACTTATTTAAAAGGATGGAAACTCAGAAAACAGTCCAAAACAATGGAAAGCAGCTGTGTCAGGGCAACAAAAGCTAGAAGTAGAAAGGGAAGGGTACACCTTTTATAAATCTTCTCACTGCATGTAACTTCCTAATTATGCATGTGTTAGTCATGATAAACATCCAAAAAATGTATGTTCCTAAAACAGGTGGTCATGTGCTGGGACTGTAAGTCAGTGGTAGAATGCTTGCCTAGGATGCTGCAATAGCACATGTCATGTAGCTCCTAGAAAACCATACATGAAAGAAAGTGAGTTTAATAAGGCAAATATCTTAGTTATTGTGAAAGAAGTTTTGACCTTGCAGATACGTTGAAAGTCTTGGGGCCACCAAGGGTCACAGAAGGACACCATGGGAACATCAACTAGAAGACAGATACAGAACTAGGCATAGAAGAATGTTCTGGAAATTGCCTTGGGTCATTATTCTTGATTGCTGAATCCTCAGAGAATATTTTAATATATATGCTAATAGCATGTTAATTTTTCTCAAGACTGGTTTAACATAAAAGAGACACTTCTAGGAACAGAGCAAGAGTTTATCTTATCACTATCATTCTACTAAATGATAAGAGAATTAAAATAGCATAAAGGTGAAGAACATTACTATTTTATGCTTAAAAGAGATGACCTTCATATCAACTATTAGGACTATCACTGTGTAGGTACTTGTCAAATCATATTCAATTAAATTTTAAAGAAAACCTAAATGGGATCAACTATCACATATATTTAAAAAGGAAAATATTAATAACTCATGACATTTTGTGCCCACTCATTATATTGTTAGGAATTCAATAAAGAGTGAATAAATCAGCACGAAAGAGTCTTCCCTAAAGGTATTGCACATTAGTCATTTGATTTGGTAAAATGAGAAAAATATGTAGAAACTAGAAATATCGATTTTCGTTTTGACCTAAGTAGAAAATAGAGACATGCCCACTTTCAAACACTGTTGAAATAGGTGAGGCGAATAGGGGAATTTCAGAGCAGTGTAGGCCACAGGAAAGGACAATCCCAGCCCAGCGCTACTCCTGTGCCCTCCTAATTTACAAGTTGGAAAACTGCTCAAGTGTGGACATGTGGAGCCACCCCAACTACGTAGCTAGGTGGTAATGATATAGGAAAAAAATAACTCCTGACCTGTTAGATTTCAAATGTGGGTTTGTGGTCTCACAACACCAAGGAATGAAGTTATAAACCAAAGGAGAAAGTTAGGAGAGATTATTGGAAATGAGAAGCACAGCTCCTAGGATTCCTGGAGGGGTCCTGGCCACTGAGGTTCTTCGGCAGGG